CGTTTCCGTCAGCTGCACGTCATCCTCTATTCTCCATGAAATCTCGACACTGGAACCGGCCGTAGTCCCGTCGCCAGCGGGGAAAAGAGAGTCAAGAAGAGCCTGCAATAAATCAGCAGGCAGACTCTCTGACATCCTAGGGTACGAGCGCCTCAGACGATTAAGTACCAATAAATACGGTCTGCCCCAAGGGTCCGCCTCCACAGCCCTGATCAATTCCAACCAAGCTGCTGTCTTAGCTTTGCGGATAGCGCTCCGCAAATTGTCCCTCGCAGTGCGGTACTCACCGCGCAGATCCGAGCGCCTAACATCCGCAGACACGTTATCCGCAACAACACAACTGGTTCGACGCGTACGCGAGCACATTCTGCTGTTATAGCGTGTGAGGAGCCTCTTGGCACGCACACACTTGCACCGGAGTTCGGCGATATCGGGGAACCACCAGTAGGCACAATTTCTCCGGACAGGTCTCCCAGCCCTAGGAGCCGCAAAATCACAAGCCCTCCTCAAGACACGGTCAAACCAGCAAGCGAAAGACTCCGCAGACATAGAATCGTCTTCGGCAGGACCCGCAACACCGTCCCACTCCAAGACGTTGGAAAGCGCCCTCACATCCATGCGGTGGTAATTCCAACGCGGATGCGGATCAACGGAGCATGTTTCGAAGGGTCCAGAACATAGACCAACCACGTCATATGTAATTATGGAATGATCGGATAGTGACTTCATATCAGCGTTGATCGACCAGTCCACCAAACGCTTCAAGAGATCGGCGGTCGTCCACGTAAGATCAACAACAGACGATACACGCGGGTTAATGCAGGTAGGCGTTACATCCACGTTAATAAGGCGAAGGTCTTTTTCGGCCGCCCACTCCTCGACAAGAGTGCCCCTCCAATTAGTAGCTACCGGGTCCCAAGATGCTGAACGTGCATTAAAATCACCACCGATTAAGGTGCTCCTGCCACCAACTTCGCCCACCACATCCCCGAGTTCATCTAAGAACTCAAGGTATCGATTTCTAGTGGAGTTAGGTGAGACGTAACATGAGACCACAAGATCACCGAATCTGACCGCGACGATGTCACGTCCTCGCCTAATCAAAGTGCAACTCAGGGGTACAACCGGGTTCCGAACAATAATGGCTGCCAGACCGCTACCGCTGGCGAACCAATCGCACACATCCTGGCGTCGTCTAGGAGGTTCCGACACAATCCCGATCACAGAGGCGCCCTCATCCATATGCTGGACCATAAGATCGAAGGCAGGCCAACTCCGATTTACGTTCAGTTGGATAACCTTAAATGCCATGATCAGGTGCTGGGTTGACACCAGTCCTCCAGCTCGGCACTGCCATTACGTCCTTACCACCAATAGCTCCACACGCTGCAGTACCCATACGATGGTCAGCGGATTTCCCTCCAGAGGCACAAACCACGCAGTGAGGACTAGCAGTGCAGTTTCGCGCAGAATGTCCGGCATCACTACAGCGAAAGCATGCGCCAGTCCTATCAACCTCAGACTTACAGACGTGACGCATGTGCCCAAATTGCCAACATTTAAAGCACTGCCGAGGGCGGACACGGAGAAGCTCAACCCTCGCAGTCCTCCACCCAATGCGTAACCTCCCAGACGCAGCCACCTTGACCGCCGCAGTGAGCGGACACTGGACCCAAATGGACCCAAGTCTATTGGCCATGCTCCTAATAGGTCCTGTCTTAACTTCATTCAGCCGGCAACCTCCAATTTCAGATAGGGTGCAGGCAACCTCGTCTACGTACACCGAATCATCCAGACCCCACAATCGGAGCTCTCCCTTAACCACAGATCTAGAGACAATGGCATCTACACGAAGGACCTCCTCCAATTTTGCGGCGAGCGAGTCCGCCTTCTCTGCTCAGTCAGCACCCGAGACCTCAATCAGCATGGTGCCGTTAGCTGCCCGACGTATTCGAGTAGCCTCAATTCCCAAACCATCCAATTGTATACGCTCGCGGGCCTTCCTCAAGAGAACGGCATACAAGCGACCATCGCCGACAGACCTGATATTCACCGCTGCAGTTCTCGGAATCCTCCTCATCTTACGAACCGTCGGTCTCTGACCACGCATGGGCGGATCAGCCACCTCACCTACCGAACGGCTCGCAAGTACTCCAGCATAGGAATCACTCCTCTTGCTGAACAACCGTTCCTTGTGTTGGGCGCGGGACTCTACAGCCGACGCGCCCATCTGAGTTGCAACAGAAAGTCGTTGCACACGCTGCTGCGGAGCAGATTCACCAATTGGCACCTAAACACTACGCAGCCTTCTCCTCCGAGACCTACCAGATCTCCCAACCATGACCCCCCTGCCAATCCTGACAACCATCCCATGGCACCACGCAGGGCAAGTCGGCCCCCGACGTGTCACCAACAGCCGAATTACCGGGCGGAGCATCTGTAACCATACGACCCAGCACAGTCCCCTCCGAATCCAGCCCATGAGGAACAAGCCGAATGTTCTTAGTAAACCGAACATTCTCAGTCACTATAGGCTGTGACCGCTTCTCCGTTAGTTATACGCGAGAATACGGCCAAAACTTCGTCTCCGCCGTTGCGGCGACGGCCGAGCTTGCCGGCAGCTCTAAAAAAAAAATCTAACTCGGTAGAGCGGCGGGGTTCTTGTGTCGACGCGCGACCTTCCTTCGCACGACACGAGAGGAACAGGCGACAGAGTCGGAGGAATCACGAATAAACACACATATCGTTTAACATTACGCTATATTTAACAAAAAAAAACAACAAAGAATGATACTACAAAGACGCTATGCGGGATCCGAGTCGCGTAGTCGCGAAATCATTTGGAAGCCGGATCCGTAGTCGAGGATCCTTCTGCTTCGCGGAGTTCGAACGGCACAAGGCTCGCGAAATTCTCTCGTTACACGCTGTTGTGCCCTCAATTATGATAAGCACAACCGGTAATTGGGATTCCGGTGCCGACGTGCAAACGGTTAGGATAGTAGGGGAAACTTATAATCTTGAGGAGTTTTTATAATAAAAATGTATTATTGAACTTGTCTTCTTACAGTTTCCGATCACGTTCTATTACACTTCACATAGATACGTTTTAACTTATCCTTTACCGAGTAAGTTAATGTTATTATAATGCGAAACACTCGTATTACTCCCGAGTCAGCGGTCTCTCACTTGAGACTTGTAACGTACGCCTCTATACTGGTCAGTATCTCTCTCTACTCTCTCTCGCGTAGGTGGTCCAACTCTTTATATATCATTCATGAAATTAGGGAATTAGGTTACCGACCTAATTACCTAACAGTTCAAAAGTGTAACGTGATGTTTCTGCAGCGCGTGCACTTTTGATTTATTTGCCGTATTTCGCAATGTTCGTTTATGCAATACATGCATTTTGGCTGAAACGTCTTTTAGCGTTTCATCATGTTTTGTCCTACATAACAACGCTAATTATTGCATTGGGCGCCAGCCGGGTGCATCCCGGCCCTAATTGTCTCGTCGCGAACCGCGTATTTCTCGCCATTCACGGAGACCCGCACTTTCTACGAATGATCGCGAGTCATCATAATTTTTACGCAATCGCTCGCCGTACTGTGCGGTCGCGACACGGTGAAGCGGCAGCAGGCAGCGCGGTAA